TAAATTACTACAAGCACACCTACAGATATATTGATGACCTTATTACGATTAATAATTTTAATCAAATTAAACACTCCGAGATTTATTCAAATTGTCTTACACTTAATAAAACTAATAATTCACAAAATAGCATAAACTATCTAGATCTACAAATCATTAACTACAAAAAAATTTTACTTTTTGACAAAACAAGAAACTTCAATTTCAATACTAACAAATTAATAAATTGGAATTCCAATATATCCAAAAAAGCAATTAACAATACAATAATAAATCAAATACAACGAATTAAAAATATCTGCACAGATACGATAGATCTATAACGCGAAATTATGCTCCTTATTAAAATTCTCAAAAATAATCTAATACCCAATCAAATTATTAACCATTGCCTTAAAAGAGTAGGCATTAAATACTCACTCTAAATCATTTAACTGATAGGGTTATGATAATTTGTTCCTAAACCTGAGAAGGCGGTATAAGTTGGATGACTATCAGTTGAAGGATTTGTACATAGTGTAATTACTAAACTGTATATAATGTAAAAAGCTAATTGTCTTCAGACTTATCCTGTTACTAAAAAAATGGGCCTATTTCATAATTTTTAGTCTGTCAAATAGCTCTTTGACAGTGAAAATTCCTTTTTTCCTTTCTTAAATTCTTCATCGTTACGACACGACAATTAGCCAGAAATTAATTAATTTCCATTCACTAGTATTTACAAAAAATTTTAACAGACGGTTTCACTCAAATAACAGCTCCACAGCAAACGTCCCTCAAGAATTCCTAGTCCCTCCCACACCATAAATTACTTCACACAAGTCTTACCGACTGATATAATTCAAAGCCCCCGCTGCCGCTAAAGAATTTTCTGAACACAACACTTCTGAGTCAGACGCGAAGAGAACACTTTGCCCACTCCCAACTAGAAAGAACGTAAGTTAGTTAAGGCTTTTTCTGGCCTTTATATCTTCATGTGCATTCACTTTTATTATTATATATATTTTTTATTTTTATTTTCTGATTTGTTTTTACAAATATTGCATTATTTTTCTTATATTTAGTAATTTTCTAATGTTTATTTCTACTATTTTGAATTATATTTCATAATGACAATTTCCAATGTTTAATTTTTACAAATAATATTGAACTCAAATGCATAAACACGAGGGTGTCGGGGAATGCTTACTCGAGCGATATCACTTTTACTGCAATTGCTTTTCACTCAAAATTGAATTAGCTAAAATACTTAATCGGAATAAGTTCTTTGGATCTCTGCATTGGTTCCCTTCTATTCACAGAAATGTTTGGCCTGACTTGAATTGCCGGTTTGGCATCGCTTTATTGCTCGAGTAAAGGACGAAACACCTTCGTATTTATTTCTTAATTATTGTTCATTGAACGGGAGTTGGTTTGTTTCCTTTGAAAAGTCAACTAATTTCCGCTTGTCAATGATAATGTCAATGATTACTTGCATTTAATTCTTGCTTTTAATTTATTCCTTTAAAATTGTTATTCATGATTTAATTCCAGTCCCCGTTAAACATCTTTAACAATTTACATTCAAGTTAATTAAAAACATCTTTCGAAATAGAACTTACTAAGTATGAATTCACTCTTTTCAGATCATTCTACTATAATTAATCTTAGGAGATAATATAATCAATTTTATTTAGTAAATAAATATATATATATATATATATATATATATATGTAATGATATTTTTAAATCAATTGATTAAATTAAATTCTAATCATATTGCTTAATAAAGTGTTGGCGATTCTCTACCTAAATTGTATCCCTGTTCCAAATTTTGGGGTAATCCCTTCTTTATTATAAATTATATTAACCTGTTGGCGCTCGCCTAATCGCCAAACTCATAAATCTGTCATATTACATAAAGTCCTTAAGAAAACCCCTGATGAGAAGGTAGCGTCACCTCGTGATTTCAATTAATATCGCTGATTGGATGAGCAACATGAGGCACACATATCTATAAATAGGGCTTCTCCCCCCCTCGAGGTACAGGAGGGAACGCTTGTGAGATGTATGCTAAAATAAACGTATCACTTTATATTCAGAAATTTGTCTCATTCCTGTTGCCCCGGCTGCACAACACAAATAATGTATGAGAAAATACATTTCATATATATTTGCGGAAGAGGAATGTTTAAAACCTATTGCTAAAAAGTACATTTGCCACTGTAGTTCCTGAGTAAAAATAGTTACATCATGTATAAAAAACCAGCAATACTAAATAAGTCTAAGTTATAGCGTAAAATTTAATGTAAAAATTACAAAACGAGATAACTTCAAAATAAAAAAGGGATGAGAAAAACTAATAAATTTTAATAATTTTAAAATGATGCCCTTAAATAATTAAAATCATTTCAAATGTACTTTTTATCAATAGCTTTTAAACATTCCTCTCCTTCGCAAATATTTTTTAAATTTTGCAGCTCAATGCGCAAAATTCTTGACCACTAAAGTCTCTCTTGTTCATGTTATCTTTCTACTTTTATATATACACACATAACCGTGTCCACAAAAGTCCTTACCCAGCCTTTATTTTCACCACCTTTGGTTGGTACCCACATATACTTCCAATTGCAAATGTCTTTTTCATGATGCAAAGATCCATGGTTTCGCATTTTTAAATTTAAAAAAAAAAAAAAATTGTTTTGCATAAAATACGAAATCCAACTTTTGACATGTTCTTTTAGTTCTTGTACTTATATTTGGAAAAATTTTATGCATGTTGTATGAAATAAAATACAAGTTTGACTCTCACATGACAAACATTGACCAAGATATTTAAGTTCAAAATTCTTAATATTTAACGTCATTTTAAATTTGCAATTAAGTGCCGATTAATAAAAAAAATTAGAATAATTCAATGTTGATTTTCCTACTTAAGTGCGATTCACCGATATTCTTTTATGATTGACTAGGGTCTGTATGGATTATTTTGTAACATTCAGTATGTCGAAAAAATTTATCACACAAGTAACTTATAAGTTTCCAAAAAGTCTAAAAATATAGTATTAATATTCTCATGAAATTTCATTAGTTCATAATCATAATCTTATAATCGTAAAAAATTCCATTTTAGTGCAATTTTTTCTTTTTTAATTAATGCGAATAATAATATGAGCTAGCTGCGTACCCAAACTCTTTCTCTCTGTGCCAGCGTTTTCTAAAACACAAATTCTGTAAACTTTTATGAATAACCTCTCCTTTTTGGAAACAGAAATTATAATGATCAATATTTTTCACAATAATCTGCATAGAAATTCTCGTTATGTAATATTTTTAAAGTCATGTAATCTCTCTTTTTCTAAACTATATATTTTCTTTTTAATTATGAACAAATGCAAATGGTTCACTCTTCAATTTATGTATGATCCCTGATTATGATTCCGATTTCAGTATCAAATACCTGGGTTAATTTTTGTCGTATTATAGTCAAACATTTGCGCTTAATTTTTTATAACGAGTATAAAACTTTTCTAAACATAAGTATAAGGAAACTTGTAAAAAGTTACACTTCGTAATTTTTACGCAATTGGTTTCTTTAAATTTTAAAATTGAGCAAGGGGGAGGCAGCTGCTTTAGCTGAACGATTAGTTGGGAAGCCAGATTAACTACGGAATTTTATAAATTCATTTTAGAAAAGGAATTATGATTGCCATCTTTCAACACTGGAACACATCAAGCAGTATCAGAATAATTCTGTATTACAAGCAGTGAAGCTAACTAAGAGAAAAATTAATAACCTTAGTTTATTTTGTAAAAAGCTGGAATTCCCTATTACTCTACAATCCATTTCCTAACATTAAAATTTATTTTTGGAAGCAACGTATTGAAGTTAACTTTCGGTTCTTTTTTCTAACACACTGAGTTATATAAACTAAATAAACTTAGAAATCACCACGCTGCAGATATTAATAATTTTCGATTAGTTTTCCTAAATTTGAACTAGAGTTCTTGCTGCTCTTACTTCGTCATGATAAGCTTTCTAAAGTTCACTGACTAGGTATAGATGGCAAGATAAATGCCAATACTTTGTCGCAGCAGACCTAACGCATTACTTCATCTGGCCATTGAAATAGCATCAGGAGACTAAGCAAGGAGGTTTTAAAATGAAATGCAACTCATTATTAGTCTTTGGCTTCATTGTTGGTATAAAATTTTCCGTTGAAAGTATGATTCGAAATTTTGTCTTGTATCCTGTATTATAGACAATTTGAATTTCTGTAATATTCATTTGACTTTTAGTGTGAATACTCTTAAATTAAATTTTCGATAAAAGGATATAACTGTAAGGATAAAATGGATTCTTTTAAAATAGAAAAATTGTAATTAAACATGAAATTAATATTTAACAGGATGAGAATCTTACGTAGTTTAAGTTATTCGAATATGATAAAACATACGAGGGCTATCTTTCTAAAGGTGGAGTACACTCGAGAGGGATTTTCGGAGGAAACTGGCTGATATTCACGTTACACATGGGTTAGAATTCAGGTAGAACGTAACAGTATCAACCATCTTAACCACTCGGCCATTGGTGGAGGGGGCTTATGTAGTTCAGAAATAAATCTCTTCCATTAGAATGCCTTACAGAAACCTAAATTGAGGTAAATACAGTCTCTTGAGAACTTATCCAGAAACTTCCCTATTTTCAGAAAGATCACTGCATATTACAGGATTAGAAATGTTAGAATCTCTTCTGCATTCTAAAAAAAAAAAAAAAAAATAGGAAACTTTTACCACTTGTAGAGGGAAGAAACTAATCCTTTATGAAGCTCGTTTTGTAATAGTTTTTGAAGGACATCTATATATGTTACTTTTTAAGTAGCTCTTACTTTGATTACACTTATAAATTGCTGCATAGGTACAAATTTCAACGTAAATCTTTTTAACTTTGTTTAAAACATTGTCATAATACTTACTATGTGTCATTATGATAGGCAATAAAATAATATTATTTTTATAGGTGGGCGTGATGGGTTGCGGTGGTAGCCGAGCAAGCCGACTGGTCTCCCCGCTTAGCAAAGCAGTTATCTCTTGGAACGGCACGGCGCCACAACCCACGGCTCTTCAACTAAAAGAACGCCTGCGTCTTATGGCCTCCAAAGACGCAGCTGTGCAGGTAATATTTTTAATAAATTATCTGTTTAGAAACGAAACGTCATAAGCAGGATGTAGAAATGTCATAGGTATGAGGTCCGTATGAGTTCTACATTAAATTGCCGCTTAACACTTTGACTGACAAAAAACTACGAGATATTTCATAGGTTGTTTACTTCCCCAGGACACCAACTAAGAGTTATCTCATCGCTTCACTACTTGCCATATTTGTACAGCTACGAAAGTCATGGTATAGCAGTATAAATATATGAATAAATGGGCTCAGGAAAGAGAAGAAAAATCAGGTTTGGCTTAAATAAACAGAAAATACAATTATACAAACTTTATTCAAACAGAATAACACTTTTATGGTTTGTGATAATTTTTAAAACAAACTTCCACGCAAAGTGTTGGCTGCTTTTTTTTTTTTTTTTTCAGATTGGATAGAAGTAACGTGTCTCGCTGAGTTTTTCAGCTTTGGTATAAACTCGGCATGGCTTTGTCGGAAGCAGTTTTTTTTTCTTCGGTAGATGGAATATTCTGTAAATAATGAAACTCTTGCGATCTTGCTTTTTTTTAAACTGATTCAATTTCTTCTGCAATCAAAGCGTCGACGAATGCTTGTCTAATCTTTATAAGTTTTATTTTAGAAGTTTGTGCGCATTGTGTGTGCATTTCTCCATAATATGTAAAGCAACCTTTTTAAGCCATCTAATACTTTTTCTTAGAGATGTGTAATATGACAGCATTTAATCTGATCGATCAATGCCAGATATTCCTAGATTGTAGTTCCGAATTATATTCGGTTTCATCGAAAGATTTCCATTGCGATTGGACACCTCTACCATTTCAAAAACATGCATATTTGAAATGGTAAGAGCATCTCGCTTGTCTTTCCATTTACATAAAGTAACAGAACCATCTTGCTGCCAAAAAAAAGTCTTATTTTCCTAATTTTCGATTCCCCACATCTCTGGGATTCCCCTTTCTGTTATTTCGGAGAGTTTCATACGAAAGTTTTTCGTGAAGTTATTAATTTTGTAAGAGCAACGGAATTTTAAAAATTATTCATGTATACTATACATCCCTTGTCGAGATAATCTTCATGTAAGTGTAAGACAATATCAGTAGTGTGACCTAGATTGTTGTGAGATTCCTCACATTTTCCGCTGTAAACTTTTATTTTCATGACAACACCATCTGATTCACATAGCTCATACAGCCCGACACCATATTTGTGCTTTTATTTTTTATGTACTGGCGAAACTGGTACTGGCGGACTTCATAATATCATTAATTCGTCGATACAATTTTTTTTTATTTTGCACATAGTTTCAGCGCATAATATCATTTAAATTATTTAGTGTGGGTCACACCTTGTATAATCTGTCAGGAAATGGTATTGAGTTATCAACGAAGTGAAAATACCGCAATAACAATTGAAATCTATTTCCACTCATACGTGATCACCAAAACTTTACATAATGCATTTTGTTTTTATTCCAGTAATGTTCTATTAAAGGAAACGAACAAGGGCCCATTTGCAATAGAAGTCTAAAAAAACTTTCATTTCTGCAATGCTAACGTCTTTCTACTGTAACAGCCTTATAGATTTTTTTATTTGATTATGTTTTGCAATTTCTTGTACAGTCTAGCAGCGAAAATATGCAAAATAAATCTAGCAGGGTTTGGACTGTAAGATTTGTCATATCCAACTTCAAACCAATATTTTCTTGAAAAATAAATAGTTTGGGACTTTTGGCGATTTTCTTTCACAAATTACCATTCGTAATTGGAATGGATTCTTGAAAAGCATCGTAATTGTCTTCAGGTTCGGAGACAACTTCATCATCACTGTTCTCACTTGAATTCTCAAGAAGGTGCATAATCGCTATTGTTGTTACCATCCTCACTGACAGTCTCGTAAATTTCTGGATCACTTAGATTATTAGCGTAGTACTCGATTTCTTTTTCCTTAAGTGTTCATTTTCTATCCAAAACGGGGCATTTATAATTTGATCATAAAATAACACACACAAGAAAGATACAAATTGTATGCGCTCGGCACTATGTCTCTATTATTACTAACAAATTTATACATAGTTTCTGACTCATCTCTAGCAAAGCGGCAGGTTGAAGCGCTTCTGAGCATGAATTATCTCGTAGTTGGCTTTCGTGAAGAGATTTCTATTAAATATGTGAACTAGGATGTCAAAATTGGCTTTTTAGACTGAAATCGTGAAACGTTCCGAGGCAATCAACGTGTTAACCCGGCTTCGCTATAAAGATGCAGAACACTGCAGTTAAATAAGTGACAATACCAATCGTCTCCACTTACTCCATTCCGTAAGAGCAACGGAATTATAAAAATCATTCATGTATACTATACATCCCTTGTCGAGATAGTCTTCATGTAAGTGTAAGACAATATCAGTAGTGCGAACTAGATTATTGTGAGATTCCTCACATTTTCCGCTGTAAACTTTTATTTTCATGACAACACCGTCGGATTCACATAGCTCATACAGCCCGACACCATATTTGTGCTTTTTATTTTTTATGTACATACGAACACCATTATCACTATTTTATCATTCAAAATTAAATACATACAGACTCTGGAGTATAAAGATGTGATCTCATACATTGTATGCAAAAATCGTACACTAAGAACAGTCTATCTTAGAAATAATTTACATATAGAATAAATGAGCCGAATTTATTGAGCAAAACAGCCATAATTTGATCACGGATGGCTTCAAAAGGTATTCAAGATAAACGCTGTAGAATGATGAATCAATGGTATCCTGTTTTTCCTTTTATGTTTTTGTTGTTACTTATGCTCACTTGTTTGACAGTAACATCACCCAAGCCCACGAAATTCCTCGTGGCACGAAATTCCTCTTGAGCTCTGGTGGGACCATTCGTCCTTCAGGATCTTTGAACTTACGCTTGGACCTTCTAACTTCTTGGTCAGACACAATTGTATCGGCTGCCTTTTTATCTCTTTTCGTCCTCAATTCTGGACCTTCTTGGGCTTCCCTCGTAGTTGTTGCCGCTGGAAAACGTGGCTTGCGTCTTGTTGATTCAGTCCGTCGTTGAAATTGCTATTTCGCTGGAACCTCCTCAGCAGGCCTTAGTCTCTTAGCCGGCCGGTGTTATTGTTGAAACCTCGGTTCTGTCTCTTTGGTTTGTCGGCGTTACCTTCCTCCGTTTCTGTGCGCCTGGACCTTTTCTGGGTTGGACCCGCTTGGCCAGTGATTGATCCGTTTCCTTTTTTGTGTTGGGGGACTCCATCTGGGCTGTTTGAGCTGGCGGAATTCTTTCCTCCCTTCCAGGATCCTGAAATAAATCCTGTAAAACTTGAAAGTCATTACGGGTGTAGTAAGGCTTTATTTGGTCAATATTTGCAACCAGTTGGTGGCCATTTTCGGCTTTAAATAAAAAGTGGCCTAAATAAAAAGTGGCTTCCCGTATTCCCTCAACTATGTATGGGCCTTCAAACCTGGGTTCAAATTTTGCCACTCTGTTTTCGGGTGCGGATGATAATGAGTGTTTTACCTTGAGGACCTTCTGCCCCACTTTATATTCCATTTCCCTTCTATTTCTATCATAATAAATTTTCTGCTTCTACCTTGCTACATCAGAGTTCTTAATTGCTTCATCGATAATTCTCTGTATGTCTTTTAACTTGAATTCTTCTTGCTTTCCTTTGCTGTACAAAGAACAGCTTGTCCAAAGGCATCAGAGTTTTTCTTCCGCGGGGCTCTTCTGCGTAGTATCATGCTTTGCTGTTCTCAACGCAAAATCTAACTCACGGACAAAGCTGTCCCAGCGGTCATGGTAATTCTTAAAGTATCCCCTGATAATTTTTACAATATTCTTATTTACGCGTTTCGCAATATTCGATTGCGGTCTATATGGTACCATTTTTAGATGGCGTATGCCAAGTTCTGTGCACAAATTTTTAAATATACTGCTAACAAACTGTTTTCCGTCATCTGATTTTACTTTTAGTGGGGCCCCGTATTTTAAAATATACTTATTTAAAAACGAATCTGCGACTATTTTAGCTGAAGCTTGTTTAAGAAGGACTATTTCTACCCATTTTGAAAAATGGTCTATAATCGTTAACAAATATATATTTTTATTCTAAGGTATATATTTTTGTTCTAGGGTAAGGTCCGAGCAAATCTATGCCAACCATTTCATTTGGGAAAGTGGTCTTTATGTTTTTAAGTAACTGGGCTGTAATTAACATCATTTATTAATTGGCACAAATGGCACGACTTAACATATGCCGTAACTACTCTTTGCAACTGCAGAAAATAAACCGCTTGGCGTACCCTCTGTACGGTTTTTCGAATTCCGAAATGACCAGTGGACAGCAGATCATACAATTCTTCTAAAATATTTAAACGTATACTCTTTGGGATCACTGACCGGTATTCCTGATTATCATTTGTTACTTTCGTGTAGAATAACAGTTTGTCGATTATTTCGTAATGCTCTGCCCTATTGCGAATAGCTGTTAAATCTAGATGATCGAAATTTTCAGGGTCTTCGAGATATGCGTAAATGTCTTTAAATTCCGGATCCTTTCGTAATTCTCCCACTATGGCTTCACGGGATTCAATAACTTTTGAAGTGAGCATAGCACACTTAACTGGCTTCCCCCCTCATCGATTTTTATTCTTGAAAGGGCATCGGCAACTAAATTTTGTTTTCCCGCCATGTGTTTTATAATTAAATTAAATTCTTGTAGTTTTAATGTCCACCGTATCAGGCGAGGCGATAAATTTTTCCCCGAATACAAGCGACCGACTGCCGTATGGTCCGAGGATACTGTTATCGGAGAACTGCCGAAGTAGACTCGAAATTTCTAAACCGCTAATAAAACAGCTAGCGTTTCTCACTCTGTTGCTGAATAGTTCCTTTGGGTAGAATTCAGCGTTTTCGAAAAGAAGGCTATCGGTTGCCCTTTCTGGGAAACAGCTCCAATTGCATAATTGCATAATCGGA